CCACACACCATTACAGAATTGGACCTCAGTGGCCATCTTCTCCAATCCATGTCTATATCTGACATCCAGTGGCCATCTAGTCTTTGTTTGAAGACCTCCAATCTAGGGGAACCCCACTCACCACCTTGTGTCATTTTTAATAACCCTGATTATTAAGTTTTTTTAATATCAAGCCTAAATTGACTCTTTTCAACTTCTAGTCACTGCTCCTAGTTATGCCCTTTGGAGTCAAGCAGAGCAAGTCAAATGTGTCTTTTACTCAATAGCCCTTTGAATACATGAAGATAGCTATTATATGTCCCCCAAAATCTTCCTTTCCTCAGGCGAAAATATCAGAATTTCCTCTGGCCTACCTTCATATGGAATGAATTCAAGGCCTTCCACCAGCCTGGTTACCTTCCTCTGGCCACTCTACAGTTTATCAATGTCCTTCCTAAAATGGGATGTCTATAAACTAACTCAGTATTCTTACTATGGTTTGACCAGTGCAGCATACAGAGGGACTATCACCTTCTTAGTCCTAGACACTATCCCTTTCTTGATCAGCCCATGAATTCATTAGTTTTCTTTAAATATCATACTGTTGAGTCATATTGACCTTTCACTTCACTAAAATTATGATCTTTTTTGGGTAAATGACTATCTTGTCATGTCTTCCATCTTGCACTTAACTAATTGACTTTTTGAACTCAAGTATAAGAAGAATACTGAGGAAAAAAAATCATCACCTTGAGGTTTCCTTTTACTGATGATCCTTTCAACACTTAAGTAGGTTAGAATGGAGAAGACAGACATGGAGTCCATTTCTGGAGCAATCGAAGTCATTTTGGCTTGGTATGATCTGCTACTCCCCTGACACAGACTTGAATAAACCAGGTTCACCTCCATAGGAAAATGAGATATATGAATTGGATTTTAGTGGTGGTCTCCAAAAAGTAGAGGACAGAAAAAAATTACAAAAACATTAGTATGATTCTACTTAACACAAGAGCACAGAAAATACATTTCAATGTTATAGCCATGAAACTCTGAAAATGATACTAGGTGAAATTACCATAAGAAATAACAGGAAGTTTCTGGTATGTCCTGCTTGAATTGCGTTGATGGTGAATTTATGATACACGGAACTCTTACTAGATCAAGTCATTATTCATGTCTTCCTAAGGGAGCAATACTAGTCCTAGATCCTTGGGCACCATGGGTGTCAATCAGTAAAGCTGGAGGAAGGGAAAAAGCAAGGAAGGCCTCTACACAGAACCTGGGTTGAGCTCTTGGAAGAGCTGGAGAATGTGATTTTTGGTAATTCAGTGTTATGATGAAATCACATTTTGGGATTTTGGATGGATGCACCATGAAATCCATTATAAATACAACCTGACTGACGATATAATTTCTGGTGAAGTGTCCCTTCTCCTGGAGGTACTGATGTTGATTTCTGAGGCTGCTGCTGATTGATGACAATGAAGCTAAAGACACCAATAATGGGCAACTTCAGAAATTTGATTTGAGAGAAATAGGAATCACTATCTTTTCTTGATTATAAATGCATCATGTGACCCTTAATAGACTTCAGCTGCACCCTGAGGGATCTAAGTTATACATACAATGAAATTAAAAATTTCCCTTGGTGAAACAAAAATTAAGCCCTGGATTTTTTCTAAAAACAAGATGAATTCCAATCTGTTTAGGACAAAGTTACGTATACTCTTACCTAGAGGTAGAATGGTAGATTTAGCTTATCCATATTGTTATTATTTTCTTCTTCTCTTTCTCCTTCTTTTCCTCTACCTCCTCCTCTTCCTCCTTCCCCTCCCCCATCCCTTCCCCTCTTCTCCTTTTCTTTCTTCTCTCCTTCTCCCTGTCCTCTTCTCCCTCCTACTCCTTCTTTCTCTTCTTCCTCCTGCTCTTCTCCCCTCCTCCTCCTCCTTCTCTTGTTTCCTTCTCCTTTACCTCTCTTTCTCCTCCTCCTTTTGTCACCACCACCACCACCATCAGCAGCAGGACAAGCCAGGAAGATTCAGATTCAAGTCCCATTGGCTGTGTGGTGTGGGACAAGTCACTTAACCTCTCAGTGCACTAGGCAACTCTCTAAAACTAATGTTGACCTGGTGTAGTGGAAGGAGTTTCCTCACCAGAGAATACTCTGTATGAGGAGTCAACTCAAAAGTCCAGTCCATACATATCTTCATTAGCATTAAGTTGTCAAATTATGCATGGTGTTTGATCGGGAAAGAAAAAGTGAATTAGACAAAGTGTCATTCCCCGCTTATGCAGAGTGTGCTCTTCCTTGGCAGAAGCTCCTTTTATAAAGTGGAAATCAGCAAGACGTTAATGAAGCACTATGTATTCTCTGAAAAGTGCTCTTAGAATGTTTATGATGACATCTCTCAATGACCATCATTATTATTTTAAGCTTTTTGTCATCAAAATGCCTCATGCAGTATTCATAATCTTTAAGAAGGCAGAATATGCGAAAATCCAAATTTACAGAGATAGGGGGAGAAGGGGTAGTCATTCTCACTACAGAAGTATTCTTTGTCTTAAAAAGAAATCTTTATAGATTTCCTTTGCATTCCTAGTCTATTTAAAGCATGACCTGATTTACATATAGTGGATTTAACCACAATTCTTTAGGTTCCTATCTATTCTACAGCAGTACACACTATACATTTTTTTTTTCAGACTGGCTGGGCTTTCAGTGACATATTAAACATTGCCCTGATAAGCAGAAATAGGTCTTCTGTCACAGTTTCCCAGACTAATTTGATAAAGGAATGATTTTGAATTTAAAATAATAGTCACAGAACTTATAAATATAAATGGATGGGTTGGGGAGGTTGAAATATGGAAAATCCCATGGGGGAAAAGTGATTGGGGAAATTCTGAAACAAAAGAAGAAATTGAGGGTATTTTCATAAGAAAAAATTACTGCATAGAATAAGCATTTTAAAAATATAATATAATCCAAAATATCATTAGGTTGCTGCAAAAATAGCTCAGGCAACAGTAGGCGTCCGACAGTGTGAGCCTGCAACGATGCATGCAAATAGGAACTAGACTTACATGAGACTTGGGACTAGACTGAACTTTTGGGTTGGGAGGTTTTAACACTTCACATTATCTTCCAACTTCACGACCAGAATATGCTTCTATTGACTGGGAATGTAGTGTCCCAATCCAGCTGCACTCTGTACAAGACCCTTATCACAAAAACCTATGGCTATGTTTTTCACTCATGTGGAGATCAGGCTGCATCCAACTCTCCTCCTCCTCCCCCAACCCAGTTTCTCACACATACCTGGCTCTGTCTTCGTTCTTCTTTCTTCTTCTCCTTCTCTTCCTCCTTTATCCTTCTTTCTCCTCCCCCTCCTCCTTCCATCACTATCACCACCATTATCATCACCAAGAGAGGTAGCCTCAAAGTCAGGAGGATTCAGGTCCAAGGTCCATCTTTGACACACTGGTTGTGTAAGGTGGGGCAAGTCACTTAACCTCTCAGTACACTGGGCAACTTTCTAAAAGGATTCTTCTTCTCACATTCCCTTTCTCAGACTTCAGGAAGGGAGAAATTTCTCTCCTCCTATGCCTGGAAAATGATGGCTATCACATGCTAATTTTTCACAAAACAACTATTCAAGCTTCCCAAAACACTAGGGTTCCCCAGAACAGTATGGGAACAGTGTTATACAGACTGCATTCTTGACTTTCAGAAATGGACGGACCAAAATAATTTGTAATTATGCAAGAAAAGAGACCAAACTGTTTTATATCCTTTGACCCAATGATTTCACTACTGAGCATATACCCCAAAGAAGTAAAACAGAAAGAAATGTCCAATATATGCCAAGATATTTGTATCAATACTATTTGTAGCAGTAAAGAACTAGAAACAAAGAGGATGCAGATCTGTTTGGGAATGGTTGAACAACCTGTGGTATATGGCTGTAATGGAATATTATTATGCAATAAGAAAAGGCAAATATGAGGATTTGGAAAAATATGGGAAAATGTGTATGAAACTGAGTTAGAGTAAATTAAACAGAACCAGAAGAAGGATATACACGATTATAAGAATACATGAAAAAAAAGCCTAGCTTTGAGAGAAGCGATAATGAAGCATACCTTCTCTTTTTTTCAGGGGAGGGGCAGAAGATTATGGGAAGAACTGAGGCAGAACATTGCATGTTTTGTCAGATGTAGTCACTCTGTAAGTCGTTTTTACTTAACTATTTGTTTTTGACACAAAAGAGAATTCAATGTGAGGGTAGGGAGACATATCTAGAAATGGCTGTGATTTTTAAACAAAAGGCACCAATAAAACTTAGGAGGAAAAAAAAGAAGCCCAACCTTTCTGAAGGACCAGATGATCTTTTTAGACATCTGCAAGTTTGTTATTGCTAACCTAATTTCTCTGACTTGGTACTGACACCCTCATCTTTTGAATTAATTATTAATAAATTTAATTTTAAAATTAATTAATAATAAATAAATTATTAATGCTTATTAATTCTTATTGGGTACATAGCTGTATGCTCTACTAGTTATAAATTATCAGTTCTTTAAAAGGAGCTCTTTCTTTAAAAACCCAACAGTTGATTATCTTTCTTATTTCTCAGTTATTAAATGAGGCCAGTCACTCAAATAGCAAAGTTCTTTCTATCATTTTGCAAGAGTATGCAGAGAAAATGTACTGGGCGGGAAAACGATGCAAGAGGGAAGATTGTGTAAGCGTGCAATGGTGGGGAATGTTTGCAAGCCAGTGTGTTATCGGAGGGCCTCACTGCAGAACGAGTGAGATGATGAAGAACAAGGATGCATCACCAAACCCTTCTTCCCATCCCAGGCCTTGAGAGAATGATAAAGAAAATGGAGCCAGCCAAGCAGTTGTGGCCTGACCAGATAAGACATTTGGGCGGGAAGACTAATGTTTGGGTTTTTTTTTTTTTTTTTTAAAGCATTGGATGTCCCAAACGTCTTGAATCAGCTGCTAGGCTGGTATTTGTGGCAGTCACATTAAACTGCAGTCAAGCAAGATGAATGATGTGAAAAGGAGCCAGCTTCACCTAGATGTTAATGAGATGCCTGCCGTTGGCCAGAAAGAGGACAGTGTTCCAGGTAATAAAGAGTTAGTGCAGAGACCGTCAAGTGCGAGCAGTTGGATACACCAGGGATTTTATTTTCTGCCACGCTCTCTCTCTGTGGACCTTGCAGAGGCCACTGATGAATATTTACTAATAATTGTGGGAAACAGGACATTAGGCATACTATTGTCTCCTCTAGCCCTGCGATTCTAAAAGCTGATGTAGAGCTTTTCGGCTTACATCCTGAAGAAACAGAAAGAAATAATAAAAGAATTATTCCTTGAGTCTGAGAAAGGGGGTGAGAGAGCAGAAAATTAAAGCTAAATGACTAAAAAGCAATGATGTGTCCAAATATTAATTATTTAGAATATGGTTCCATGTATATGTAGGTGTTTGAGAAGACAAGAAGAGGTAAAAAACAGGCAGACTGAGAAACATGTTTGTTAAGGATAAGAATAATTTTGAAGAATGGCATTTTGGCAGTATAAAAACAAATCTTAAAAGTTTTTGAGTAAATTGTTTTCTTTCCATTATTATTATAGTTGCCCTTATTATTTATTATTAACTATTGATTCTTTCAGAACACAAGGATTTTTTTATTTTTAGTACCTGGGACTTCTGTTAGAAAATATTGGGATTTTGTTATTTTATACTAGAAATAGCTTACGTGGCCATAATGAGAAAACCATGGATCTTGAACAAATTCCATATTCAATATAGAAAAAGTTTCAGAAGAAACTGAAGGCTTGCAAGATAACAGGTGAGATCTCTGCAACTGCCCAAAGAATTCAAAGAATAAATTGGAGACTGGGAAAATGGATAATTTGTCATTCAACAAATAAGAATCCAAAAAAACCACCATTTTGTTATTTTAGTGAAAAATAATTTTAGTGGAAAATAACATCCATTGAGTTTATAAATGCTTTGCTATTTTGGATTTTATATACTAAGAGCACATCTGCTTGCTGATTGATATTTCTTTAAATGGCTATAACCCCAATTTGTTTGCAAAGGGGCATGCAAGTAATGAATTTGTCCACAGAACTTTTATGACAATATGACTATAAAAAACAAGGAGTACATGGCTCAGGGGAAAATGGATGGCTACTTGTCAGGCATGTAGTAGAAGGGAATTCTACTTCAGATTGCATTGGACCAGGGGACCTGTAAAGTTCCTTCTAAACTCTTTATAGTCCTGTGATACTTTGTCAAGAAGTTTTATGCTTCCTCAAATTAAGTATTGATTACTTTCCTCAGGGAATATAATAGAAATAAGCTATATGCATTCAAAAAGCAAGAATATAGGTTACACTTCAATAATTTCAAAATGATTGATATACATAGAAAATACTATAGGAGTTCAGAGGAGGGAGACATCACTGTGGGCTGAAGGGGCAAAAGGTTTCATGGAGGTGATGGGACTTGAGGTGAACTTTGAAATGTAGGTAGGATGTAGATTGGCAGAGAAGACAGGGGAAGGCATTTCGTGATGGGAATCAACATGAGCTAAGACAGAGAAATGAAAATGAATGATAAGCCAATGAACAGATCACACTGGTTATAGTGGGAAAAGTTAGAACTAAGGTTGAAGAGGGATGAAGACCAGTTTACGGAGAAGCTAAACTCTTCATTTTACAGATGAGCGAATTGAATTCAAAGGGACAAAGTGACTTGCTCAAAGCCACACAGCTAGTAAACGGTAGAGTCAAAGAACTAGATTGCAATGAGTTAAGGAGGAAATGAGTGGGGAGGAAGTATAGGTAGGTGTGTAGAGCAGTGGTGTCAAATTCAAATAGAAATAGATCCCTGGGAATTGCATGTTACTTAGAAAACTACAAATTAAAATTATGTATATTGTATCTTGCTTTATTATTACACATTTTTCAATTACATTTTAATCTGATTCAGGCTGCAACAGAGTTTTGTGGGCTACTTGTGGCTGTATATTCTATCTAGGACACCTCTGGTAGATGATTGATATTCAAGGAGTTAGTTAGAGAAAGGAAGGAGAAAAAAATAGCGCTTGACGGAGCATGACATTTTTATTTTAGGTTTGCAGACTAAACTTTCCAGAGGATTCACTCTTCAAAAGAATTGAAGTTTTACATAGGGTAAATTGCTAAGAGGTAGCTGTGCTTCTTTGGTCATGGTCCCCTGGCCCAAATACTTGGCTTATGGTTTTGTGAAGATCCGGTGAAATGACATTTACTCAAGGAGCCATTGTGTGGCCACAGTCACAGACAGCTGGAGACTGAGATCTCCTTTGTGCTCAGAATTGTTCCTCTTCACCCTTAGGATGGAAGGTCAGGACTTGTTGCAGAGAGAAATCTGATCTAGGGGGTAAAGAGAGGAATGGATCCCAATTACCCCCAAATGGAAAGTTTCTATTGTATTCTGAGACTACTAGGTACAGAGATTCTATAATCTCTTTCCTCAGAATGGGCCAGTTAAATATTATTGCATTTTGTTGATCAAGATCTTTTATTTTGGTCCCACAGAGATCACAGGAACTCGACGTTTGCGGAACCGAGAGCTGCTGAGGAAAAGAAAAGCTGAAGCCCAGGAAAGACAAACGGCACAGTGGCTTGGGTAAATTAGTTACAATGGAATATAAGTGTGTTGTAAAGAGAGCAGGTGGCACCTGAGGGAATCTAGGTAACAGTGTGAATAACATCAATTGCTTATATTTGTATTTAGAGTTCACAAAGTGCTTTTACATAGAGAGACACTGTGGTATAGTGGGTAATGCTGGACTTCGGGCCAGGAAGTCCTGGATTCAAATCCCACCTCAGACATTTACTAGCTATGTAATTTTGGACAAGTCAGCTGACCTCTCTGAGCCTCAGTTTTCTCATTTGGAAAGTGGGGCTGTTAGATGATGCCGTGGATATGCCTCACTCAGGCCTGGAGTCAGAAAGATTCATCTTCCTGAGTTCAAATCCGGCCTCAGACACTTACTAGCTGTATGACCCTGGACAAGTGACTTAACCCTGTTTGCCTCAGTTTCCTCATCTGTAAAATGAGCTGGAGAAGAAAATGGCAAACCACTCCAGTATCTCTGCCAAGGAAAGCACATATGGGGTCATGAAGAGTCAAACACGACTGAAAAAGACTGAACAACAAAAAGTAGGGATAATAACATCTATCTCAGAGTTGGTATATCAAATAAGATGATATAAAACTCTTTGTAAATGTTAAGGTGACATATAAATGTGTTATTTATTTGAGCTTCATAAAAACTACATGTTGTGGAAAGAGCAAATATTTTCTTATGTGGAGATGGCCAAGTGGTTTAGTAGTAAGAACAAAGGACTTGGAGTCAGAAGTCAAATTCTATCTTTTATTCTTTTTTGAGGGGGGGGGTGGCAATTGGGGTTAAATGACTTACCCAGGGTCACATAGCTAGTACATGTCTGAGGGCGGATTTGAACTCAGATCCTCCTGGCTGCAGGGTTGGTGCTCTATCCGCTGCACCACCCACCTGCCCCCTAGCTTTTATTCTTAATGCCTATATGACTTTGCATATTACTCCTCTGGATCTCATTCTCCTCATCTACAAAATGAAGGAGCTGGAGGAGATGATCTTTAGATGTCCATTCAGCTCTATATCCTCTGATTCCTATTTTATAGATGAGCAAATGGACTTTCCTAGAGGTGGAGTGACTGGTCCACAGACTAGTAAGTAGTCAGTGATGGAAGCTAGATGGGGATCATGTTTTCTTACTCTTACTACAGTACTAGATTTGAATTCAGGAAAAGGAGTCTCCCTGACTCCTAGCCCAGCACTCTAACCTCTGTGTCAGCTAGCTGCACATTCCTTTACATGAGACATCAAAACAGAGGGCTGTTCTGGACTGGGCTGTAAGCAGTATCAAGAGAGTCAAAGCAAAAGCTGGAAATTGCATGGAAGCCAGAAATAAAGATGCAACCATAAGGAAAAGCTGGCTGGTAGTCAGGTGCCAGGAAATACACAGCACAAGACAGAGATAAAGACAGTATTATTGGCTTCTGATCTGCCAAGTGGTTTGGGCAGCAGAGATTTTAGGATTTTGAAACTAAAGTCAATTTGTCTCGTAGAGGAAGCTTCTTATTTTCTTCCTAGTATGACTGGACTGACTTCTCAAGGCTAGCCCCAGGTTAGAAAAGAAAAACAAGCACTTGTTAAGGACTTATGTTACAAATAGTATCTCTTTTGATCTTTAGAACAACCCTAGGAGGTGAGTGCTATTATTATCCCCATTTTACACTTGAGAAAACTGAGGCAGATGGACACTAAGTGACTTGCCCAGGGTCATACAGCTAGTAAAGATCTAAGGTCAAATTTTAATTCAGGTTTTCCTGATTCCAGGATAAACATTCTCTCTATTGCACCACCTAGCTACTTTAACAAAAGGCTCAAGAGGTGCTATATCACAGCAACTCAATCCCAATGTCTGATTGACCTGAATCTGACAAAGTCATTATTACTAATTTTTTCTCCCATCACTTTTTTTCCTTCCACAGGACAACATAAATGGAAAAAATAGAATTTAGACTTAGAGGTCATCTTATCTAATCCCTTCTGAACCTACTAGAATGAGATAAGGCATCTATTTCTGCCTAGTGCCTTTCAAATATCTTCCAGTTAATTCACATTAGATACTAGGTAGGCATGGACAGATTATCTGAGACTCTCAAAGACACAGTGGAAAAAGCCTTAGATGTATCAGAGGACCTGGATTTGATTCTAAGTTTTTGTACCTTTGGGCAAATTCACAGAACCTGTTTCTCCCTCTGTAAGATGAAAAGGTTGGACAAAATGACCTCTATGATCACTTCTTGCTCTAAACCTAATAATACAGTATAGTAAAATACCTTCACTCCTCCTAAATCTTTAATGAAAGTGTATTCTAATTAATTCCTGAGGTATGCAAATCCTGAGCTCTGACTCTCCACTAGGCTGGCCATAAGCACTAGAGTTCCTGGAGTCAGTTATACTATGATGCTATATTTTTACGTGTATGCTGAAATCATGTTCTTCAATCTTCTTTTGTTGTCCTAACAGATCACAAAACCAAAGCAAACGACAAAGAACAGCAAAAGGCCGAGGCCGGCCACACACTAAAGAAACAGAGAAGGAGCCTCCACTACAAGTTGTGAGAGTGGAAAAGGAAGAAAAAGCAAAGAAAGAACTGCCATCTCTAGAGCAGCAGAAGGAGCCGCTGGTGACTGCTGCCAAGGACCTCCATTCTACAGAAAACCAAGAAGCGACTGTGATAGAACATGCCCCTAAAACATATCAGCATGCAGCTATGCCTCAAGACTACACAACTGAAACATACCAAGAGACATCTGAGCCTAAGGATCTTTCTCTTAAAACATGCCAAGAAACAGCTGTGCCTGAAAAACATACCTCTACAACATACCAAGAAACCACTGTGTTTAAAGAGCTGTCTCCTAAAACATGCCAAGGAACAGTTGTACCTGAATCTTTCTTTCCTAAAAGATACCAAGCAACAGCTCTCCCTAAAGATTGCTCTCCGAAAATATGTCAAGAAACAGCTATCACTGAAAAGTATGCACCTAAGAGATGCCAAGAAACAGCTGTACCTGAAGAGTGTTCTCCTAAAACATGTCAAGAAATAGGTGTGTCTGCAAAATACACCCTTGAAACATACCAAGAGACAGCTGTACCAGAATCTTCCTCTCCTAAAAGATACCAAGAAACAACTGTTCCTAGAGATTGCTTTCCTAAAACACATCAAGGAACAGTGATCGCTGAAAACTATGCATCTAAGAGATGTCAAGAAACAGCTGTGCCTGAAGAGTTTTCTCCTAAAACATATCAAGAAATAGATGTGTCTGCAAAATACACCCTTGAAACATACCAAGAGACAGATGTTCCTGAAGATCTCTCTCCTAGAACATTACGAGAAAGAGCTATAACTGAAAATTCTTCACCTAAAAGATGCCAAGAAACAGCCATTTATGAGGCACTTTCTCCTAAAATATGCCAAGAAAGGGCTGCGCCTGAAAAATACACCCGTGAAACATGCCAAGAGACAGCTGAAACAGAATCTTCCTCTCCTGAAAGACACCAAGAAACAACTGATCCTAAAGATTGCTTTCCTAAAACACATCAAGAAACGGTGATTACTGAAAACTATGCATCTAAGAGATGTCAAGAAACAGCTGTACCTGAAGAGTTTTCTCCAAAATCATGCCAGGAAAGAGCTGTGTCTGAAAGATACAACCTGAAAACATACCAAGAAACAGTTGTGCCAGAAAAATACACCTCTAGAACATGCCAAGGAGCAGCTGTGCCTAAAGATTGCTTTCCTAAGACATGCCAGGAAAGACCTATGTCTGAAAAAGGTGTCCCTAAAATGTACCAAGAAACAACTGTGTGTGAAAGTAGCTTTCCTAAACCATTCCAGGAAATAGATGCACTTGAGCAACATACCTCTAAAACGTATCAAGAAACAGCTGTGCCCAAAGATCTTCCTCCTAAAACACACCAGGAGAGACCTATGCCTGAAAAATATACCCCCAAAACATACCAAGAAACAGCTATACATGAAGTTCTCATTACTGAAACATGTCAGGAGAAAAATGTGCTTGAAAAACAAGCCCCTAAGATGTCCCAAGAAAGGGCTGTGCCTAAAGATCTCTTGCCTAAAAAATGCCAAGAAAGCGATGGAATTAAAGAGGATCCTATGGAAACATACCAAGATACAGCTGTGGCCAAAGATCTCACTCCTAATATAAGCCAGAAAATATCTGTGCTTGAAAAATATTTCCCTAAAGCATACCAAGAAGTAGTTCCGCCTAAAACTCTCTTGGCTCAAATATGCCACAAAACAGATGATCCGGAAGAATATCATACTGAAACATACCAAGAAAATGCTATGCCTGTAGTTCAGGATCCTGGAACACACGGAGAAACTGCTACAGCTGTCATTTGTCCTCCAAGTAGGCTTCTCCTTTCATTAAGATGTTCAAATAGAAGTGAAAGTTTGCATTTAGCAACTCTCTGGATTTAAAATATTCAAGTACTATTGAATCCTGGGCAAGTTTCTTAATAATAATAATAGCTAATTAGGTACCAGGCACTGTGCTAAGTGCTTTATAATTATTATCTCATTTGGTCCTCACAAGGAGGTAGGCCCTATTATTATCCCCTCTTTTTCAGATAAGGAAACCGAGGCAAACATAAATTCAGTCACTTGCCCAGGGTCATACAACTAGTGTGTGTTCTGAGGGTGGACTATGAACTCAGGTCTATCTTGACTTCAGGCCCAGATCTCTAACCACTGTACCAGCCAGCCAGAGCAATTGGTCTAGAGACTCTCAAATGTCCCTTACAGCAGGCTATTTCTGACCCTCAGGTGTGCAGGTTTCTGTTTGTTTTACACCTGGGGGTGACCCCCTTATCTCAAGGGCACTTGATTTCTGAGGGAACAGTCCATCTGTGATTTCAATCAGTGCCTACTTGAGGAAAAAATAAAAAATGAAAGCTTGCAATAGCAACTTGGTCTTAGCCAATGAAGGGATAGGAATCTAACAGAAATAATATCTAAAATATTATAAATTTTATAATATAAAATATTCTATATGAAATATATATTAAAATACAAAAATATTATGTAATATATAAAATATTAATATATTAATTATAAAATTAACCAGAGTGCTTAAGAGTGTGTTTTAGTTAATTTTTTTTTTGTAAATTCATGAGGGTTTTTTTTTTTTGGTGGTGAACAGTTTTTTGAACATAATTGTATCTTTGCTTGATGACGAGTGATCTCACAGTGCCTTGTGGCCATCATTCTGAACATAAGTGCTTCTCATTCAAGAATCTTTAAATGAATTTCTACTGGCCCTATGATATTTCTTGGATTTTTAAACCCTTGATAATGACTCATTTCTTTGTCAGATAGCTCCTTTTAAAAGGAAAATTCAATGAAACACAGTGATAGAGAATTTTGATTAATTGGGTGCAAATTTTGAAGTTTTACTATAGTACTGTGTAAGCAACACCCCCACACCGCCCCCCCCAAAAGTAGGTGTGAACACCTGTAGGAATATAAAACTAGAGTCAACTAAAACCAAGGTAATGCCCAATCTCTAAGATTTTACATTCCCAAGTTTTGATGCAAACCACTTATGTGTATCTTATTTTGTTTTACAGAACTGAAGAAAATAACAAAAGCAGAGGAACCAGAAAAGCCTGCTGCAATTCTGAATCTTTCCCAGGAGAAAAAAGCAGAGATTGATTACTATAGATTTCAACAACTACCTCAACCATAATAGTTTCAAACTAAAGATACAGTACACTAATATTTTAAATGCACAATTTCTCTAAATGCAATAAACTACAGATCTCTATAGTATTCGATACGAATTTGACTCAGGGATATTTTCCTGTATGTACTCTGCATTTAACATATTTGAAGACCTGGCTTCAGCTATGGTGACTCATTTGTGTGTGCTGGAGAACTGGGGGTAGGTGGGAACAGATTGGATAGGAGTGGGGGGGGAGGGGAAAAAACCGAGGACCATTTGTACCTCAGAAAACGAAATTGTTTTAATTAATTATTGATATTAAGTGATTAAATAATTAGGAACATTTAAAGCCTTTCTTTGGCAGTTTCTCATTTTCTTGTAACCTTAAATATTAACGTAGTGATAATTTTATTATTTTGCTTAGGCTTTTTAAAAATTTGGTTGTTTTATTAGTGTAGCAGTTTTACTTACTACTATGAGGATCCTCAAAACCTATCTGGTGTGGGTGTGTGTGCGTAATAGCTTGTTTTTTTGTGTTTTCGTTTGATCTCCTATTTTTAACTAAATAAAAAAAAATTATATATATAACTTTTGTGTCAGAGGCTTCTTCCTAATGTAAAGCAATAGGATACACTTTGGGTCACTCCTCACTTCTCTGGCTCATTGCCTGGATCCTGATAATGTAGGAATTTGAATGTCTAACACTCTTTACTCCAAATACATAGTTATGAAGTCTCAAAACATGAACAGTTTTATTTACAGGTTAATAAAACTAAGCAGGACTCACATCTGAGCCCATAGAAAGAAGTAAAATTCACCGGTGTAATTTCAGTTAGTTATTTAAAGCATAGGGTGTCCCAAAAGTCTTAGTGTAGTTTTAAGATCATTAAAGCTTACTAAAGCCAAAAATTGCACTAAGTCTTTTGGGACACCTTGTTTTACCCTAGGGATGGCACTCCAGCAGAGATGGTTGAAGTTTGCTTTTCTGTATTGGCATTCCCCTCCTTATCATCTTTGCCTGCCCAGTGTTGCTTAAAAATTTCCCTTTAAATCCTCCCTTACCTCCTATCTTCCCTATTACAACACCATCCTTCTGGCCCTTCAGTCTCATAACCTAGGAATCATCCTGGATTCACTTCCAGTTGCCCTCACCCCTGAGGCATCTCTGAACTGTTGCCACGGCCTGTTGATTTCACCTTTGCAACGTCTCACCAGTCAGCCCCCTTCTCTGACACTGCTGCCCCTCTGGTGCAGGCCCTAATTACCTCACACCTTGATTATTATAGGAGTCTGCTGGTGGATCTGCCTGTTTCAAGTCCTTCTCCGCTCCATTCCATCCTCCATTCAGCCACCAAAGTGATTTTCCTAAAATCTGTACTCTTCCATTCAGTGACACAGTCCTCCTTGCTGTTCCACAAACAAGACGCTCCATCTCTCGGCTCTAGGCATTTTCTCTGACTGTCCATATCTGCAAACACTCTCTTCTCTACTCTGACTATTGACCTCCTTGGCTTCCTCCAAGTCCCAACTAAAATCCCACCTTCTACAGGAAGCCTTCCCTAACTCCTCTTAATTACAAGGCTTCCCCTCTTTTAATTATTTCCTATTTATCCTGTATATAGCCTACTTTGTATATATTTGTTTGCATGTTGTCTTCCCTTTTAGATTGTAAGATCCTTGGGAGCAGGGACTGCCTTTGGCCTCTTTTTGTATCCCCAGTGCCTAGCATAGAGCCTGGCACACAGTGTGTGTGTTAACAAATGTTTATTGACAATTGAATATCTGACAAGTCTTGCCTCCTGCCCTTCTCAGCTTTTCTCTACCACTGTCCTCCACTGTTGCTGTTTCCTGTAATTCAGTTAGTTAGCTTCTAGAAGATAGCGGTCATTGTTCCCAACTCCTTTCTTTGTCCTTTGCATTTGTGCCATTCTCAGCACCTAGGTGTGGGGGCTCTGAACCTTTTTCTATGTCATGGACTTCTTTGACTGTTTGGTGAAGCCTATGAATTCTTCAGAATGTTTATAAATGCATGAAGCTAAGTACCGATGATTATAAAGGAAACTGATATATTGAAATACAGTTGTCATTAAATAAAAAAAAAAAAGCTTTTGGACCACAGGTTAAGAACCTCTATTAGAGCAGGAAGTTCTTTTGCTTTCCTGGAGGACTAGTTCTTTAATGAGTATCTCATATGGTAAAGGAACTTGAGATATGTTTTAGGACTCAAAAACACATTCCTGTTATGCCTACACCTATTTTTGCATACTGTCTCCTACAGGACTAAGCCTCACACACTATGGGTTTGGGGGCCATAGGAAAGTTCTTTCTTTGCATCTCCACACACTGGAAAACTCAGGAATTATCTTTCAGGCCTCCCTCTCCTTCATTCTACATGTTCAATTATTTATTAGAATCTATCATTTCTTGCCTCCACAATATCACCTGAACTGTTTACTCTCTGACCATTCCTTCTCAGTCTCCTTTGTTGGATCTTCATTCATGTCAAAACCATGATTAGAGAGTGAGTATCCCCTAACACTCTATTCTGGGTCCTTTTCTCTTTATGATATCTCACTGATAATCTCAAATAATATCTCTATGCTGATGATTGCCAGATCTATGGATCCAACCTCAGCCTCTCCGGGTTGTCAGACCTGCATCAACAACTGCATAGTGGACATTTCATGCTGGATGTATGGTAGGCATTTCAAACTTCACACATCTAAAACACTCATCATCTTTCCTCCCAAACCCACTGGCTTCTCTTCCAAATTTTTCCATTACTTCAAAGAGCACTGCCATCCTTCTAGTCCCTCATGTTCATCACCTCTTTCCTTCTTATTCATTCTGTATATCCAATCGGCTGCCAAATCTTGGTGTTTCTACTTTCACAGATCTTTTACGTGAGGCCCTTTGTCTCCATTCACACAGCCACCACCCTAGGTCAGGCCCTCATTACCTTGCCTGGACTACTTCAATAACCTGATATCTCTCCTTGCCATGAGTGTCTCCCCATTCCAATCTATTCTCCACACGGATGCCAGTGATTTTCCTAAAGCAGAGATCTGTCCACACTGTCTCCCTATTTTGTAAGTTCCAGTGGCCCCGTTACTTCTAGGATCAATTAAAAACTGCCTCATTTGGCACTTAAAGCTTTTCACAAATCGTACCCTTCATAACTTTCCAGACTTATGTCATCGGTCCTCTTCGAGAACGAAAGATGAACAACAAATATTACCACTCCCTTCAGGTACCGTGCTGTCCAGTATATTTTCTTAAGTATAGACAATCAACAAATCCAGTCCTGATCTGTGGCTTTTGCTGATTTTTGAGGTATAAATGCTCACTACTAAAAACAAAACAATGGCTTTAGCAGAGTCCTTGTGAGCTGGCTACAACATGCCCCTATACTGTTCCCCTTATAATCCCTCGCTTCCTTCAAGACTCAACTCAAAGGCCATTTTCTGTGGGTTTTTCCTGGTCATCCTCTACAGTTATCTTCCATTTCTATCACCAATGCTTACCCCAGTAACTGGTACCTAGTAATCTCCATTAATTGGTCTCTACAGGCACTGCAGTCAACCTAGCTCAGGTTCTCAATAATCTCTCCCCTCCTCCCATAACATCCTACTTGCTACCAAGTTTCTCTTTGTAAAAAATAAGAGTTGGATCATGGTATTCCCCATTTAGAAACTGTCAATCACTTTCTTCCACCTACCAAATAATGCTGAAATTCTTCAGCCCAAGATTCAAGACTCTTCACGCTTTGGCCCCGATTTATCATTTTTAGGCACATGACATTTCATACTATTCACCTTAAAGAGCTTTAAGCCAAGTAAGACTTTTTGCTCTTCCCTTACCTTACACTTTTCCACTGTGGCATTTACGTTATCCTTCCACCCCTGCCCCACTCTAATTCTTATCTTTCTTCTAAGGCCCAACTTAAATGCTACTGTCCAGGATGCTATAACTAGAAGAAAAGTTCTCTCTTAGAATTTCACATCTGACTTAAGGTTATGAGTTTGTTTGTATGTCATGTTCCCTACTACCCCATGTGGAAAGGAACCATGTCTTTTCTTTATACTCCTAGCACTGTTCCAAGTAATCAATAGATATTGCTAAATAAAAACAAAATTACTTTTTTCACAAAACATTAATTCACCAATATACTATCTCATTTGATTTTTACAATTAAGATGTAGATGCTATTATTATCCCCATTTTACAGTTGAGGAACCTGAGGCAAACAGATGAAGTGACTTGCCTAGGGTTGCACAAGTGAGGCTGAATTTGATCTTAGGTATTGCTGATTCTAGGCCCAGCACTCTAACCACTCTGCCACCAGCTGCCTCTAAGTTCCAAGTTACATGGTCAACATGCAAATACCAGCCTCACGATAAAAATACTTCAATCTTCATTTTGTTGCTTAGCCTACTAGTCCATAAAACCTCTCTCTAGAGAATACTGAAACAATTTCTCAATGTCAAAAGTAGAAATGGTAACGTGAAATTCAATGGAAAGAGATGTTTAGGACACTTGAGTCCCACTCTCACGCTAGTATTTGTATTCCTAACACTTAGCACATAGTAAGTGCCTAACAAATGCTTGGTTGACTGACCTGATGCCCCATCATAGTATGAGTGTGACTCTGGGTTCAGTCAGCAGTGTCCAAGCTTGGGCAGATCCTGTCAACCCAAAAAAGCTTCCAAGCTCAACCTAGCTAAGTTTAGAGATGCTTGTCGTTAGGTGATTTTCTTTCAACAAAGCAACTCGTGAAGATGTCTACTAAGGCTCACAAAGGTTGAAATCTTGGTGGATTCTTGAAGTATTGTAGAAGTAGTGTCATATTCTTTTACAAAAGGAAGATTTGATATAAAAACCTTTGTTGAAATTAATCATTCCTTAGAGTTCATAAAAATGGCTACTGTGGGTATTATTAAATTAGCTGCAATTACACATTGAAGATTCATTATTATGCCTCACAAACATTTCATTGGTAGACATACTTCTCTGTCACTATAAAAGGGTTTCCTGAAAAATTATCTTGAAATTTGACCAAAATATATTATTTTTAAAAATTTGGAGC